ATCCACTGTTGAGGCTGAATATGTTGTTGCTGCCTCTTGTTGTGCTCAATTATTGTGGATCAAACAAGAGCTAATAGATTTTGTCATTGAAGTTGGTTGCATTCCTATCTTCTGTGATAACACCAGTGTTATAAGTATGACAAAGAACCTTGTTCATCATAAGAGGACTAAGCACATGGATGTTAGACACCACTTCTTAAGAGATAACTATGAGAAAGGATTGATCTCCACAGAATTCGGTGCTACTAATAAACAAATTTCTAACATTGAGAGAAACAGGTTAAAATTAGGGATGAATAAGATCACCTAATAGGACCAGCTTAGAATGCACAATAAAAAAATTGAAAAAAATGAAACATTTGACTAGGAAATCTAAACTTGTGTAAATACATAGATTAATTTTTATGTAGCTTCATACTGTAATTAGTATACCCTTATGATGTGTGCTAATATGACTCACTGATCTCTTACAAAATTTTCTCTATTATGGTAAATTGAGGCATGGTCAAGAGAATTCTAAATGAAGAACTTGGTTCATCAGTATGGGTTCATCTGAATGCTAAGGTATGTTTTTTATACTCTGCACAATTAGAAATATAAATATTTAAAATCATGAGAAGAAGCCCTACAATTGTTCAACTCCTTAGAAAATTTTATCCGTTAGTTTTGAACCAGTTCCGTCAGCCTTAGAACTCTAAGCCAAAAAAACTGCCTAAAATTTAGGTAAGCCTAACCGTTCATTCAAACCTGAAATTTCAGTTTGATTAGACCTCTAATGGACCACTGATAAAGTTGTCATTATACATTAAATGTGTATTTCTCTTTAAATACACATCATTACCTTTTGCCTTCTTTGTAATTCTAAAGCGCCAAAAACCCCTCTTCACTTTCACTTGCTTTCTTCTCCAAAATTCTAACTCACCAATTCTCTCAAGAAACCAGCGATCATGACAAACCCACAAGACAATCCTGGAACCCCTCCACAACCCACTCCCTCTAATTCATCTACCCCTTATCCACCTAGCACATCTCCCAACCCCAGGCTGAGAAGGTTAAAAATGCTTGCTCGAAAAACAGTAGAGTCTGGAGCTCTCTCAAAGAAATTAAATGAGAAATTAAAGGCAAGCCAGGCCCAAGACTCTAACTCCAACTCTAATTCTGAGTCATATAAATCTGCTAATGAGGGGGAAGGACCTTGGTCTTCTGACTCTGAAAAGACTCAAGAATCCCCTTCTAAGGTAGGTTTTTCTTTGACTGAAAATCTAGAAACTAGGTTTTTTCTGATTGGGCCTATCAGGGATGTACAATTACCTGAGTTATGAAGGAGTGGAGGTAAAAAGAAATCTGAAACAGAAAAAGAGAGAGAGGGTGCATGTGGTAAAGAGAGGGGAAATGGGAAAAGAGTGGTTGATCATTCACCCATTACTGGTTTATCTGTGCCTGCTATCCATAGGGTTGAATAAGAAAATGTAGAAGACAGTGGCAAGAAGTCAGGGGGAAGTGGTTCTGGTGAAGCTGCTGAAGGGTTAGTTAATCCAAACGAACAAGGAGATGAACCTAGTTCATCAACTGAAGAGACCCTAGCAGACCTGTTGAAAATGGTTAGGGCAAGTTATGATCTAAAAAAAGAATAACTCCCACACCAAAATCCCCCAGTACTCCTAAACCCTCTAAGAAAAGAAAGGCTTCATCCCTAACAACTACTGAAACTTCCTTGCCAAATTAAAGAGCCACAAGAAGCAAGGTCAAACAGAGTGAGAGTGGTCTACAAAAGGCTCTAGCTGAGAGTAAGAAGAAAAGGATGGCTAAAGAAAAAAGGAAGGTGGCGGAGTCCTTAGAGGCTGTGGAAGTTCCAACGGTGGAGGTTCAGACCCCCAAGCCCAAAAAGTCCAAGACTTCTTCCAAGAAGCCTTCCTCTGTATTTGGGCTGCTGAACCTTCATTAGCCAAGAGGACAAGGTTTGCAGTAAAAAGTAAACAAGTAAGAATTTCTAAATATGAGGAATGGACTAGAGAAGAAGAAGAAGAAGAAGAAGAAGAAGAAGAAGAAGAAGAAGAAGAAGATGAGTATGATGGTGATCAAGACAAGCTTGCCATGTTTAGCAAAAGAAAAATTTTGAAGGGTATATTGCTGAAAGACCTGGTGGAACCAGGAAAGATGAGACTGATAGATGTCTTAGCTGCTCAGGGGTGGACAGACATGGTCCTTCAGATGGATGGAAGGCTAGCCAGGAATGAGATCATTAAGTTCATGGCAAATGTAGAGGTTAAGGATAGCAAGGTTAGAAGCATGGTGAAAGGAGATCAAATGACCTTTGATGCAGAAAAACTGGGAGAGATCCTTGACATACCCTCTGAAGGGTTTGATGACTATACAAGGCAAAGCTGGCCTTATCTGAACTCTCTTCCTACTGCCCTTGAAATTACCAGGAGGTTATGTGATGCTGAAGATGTGAATGAGGCTAGGGCTGTTCAGAAAAGTGTAATGAGGCCACAACACAAAGTCTTGTTTGAATTTGTCAACAAGTGACTATTGCCCAGGCAGGAGAGAATGCATATTGTAAATTATATAGACCTAGTTCTTATGAAGTGCCTGGAAAGTGGAAGGCTAATTAATTGGCTTGCATTCATCATCAAGCTACTGGACAGGGTCATCAATGGCTCCAAGGTTCATGCTACCCCCTATGGCTTTATTTTGGCTACGATTCTGGATAGGTGCAATGTGCCTCTGAAGAAATGAGAAATGACCTCAAGCAAGGATCACTTTGGCATTAATACTCTGATTGCTTATGACTATTTAATCAATGCCATCCCAAATAAACCTGGTTCATCCAAGAAGACTCATATCAATAGTAAAGTCATGGCTTTTGTTCAGGAATATGAAGCCAAGGATGCTGAGATAGCTAGGCTCAAGGCTCGTGTGGAAGAGGTAGAATCTGAAAGGGATGCTCTCATAACTAAGCTTACCAAGGAAAAGGATAAGAATACCAGAATTCTTCACAATATGTTGAATCTTCTCCATGTCCAAAACCAACTCTCTAGCTCCCCCAACCCTTAAGAATTCTAGTCTTTGTGTGTGACCCGGATTAGTGATTTTTCTATCTTTTTTTGCTCATATTTTAAATGTTTTTGCTTTCTGGTTGTGGATTGTGGTAGCAACATATCTTCTATCAATGATATCTAGTATTTTTGCTCTTGTTCAATGTTAATCTTTCCTTGATAGTTTAAATATGTTCGCTTGATTATTGATGATTAAATCATGATTGCACTTGCAGTTGCCCCAGTGGCTATGAGTACTTATTAAAATTTGGGACTCGCACTTTGTATGCAACTTTTCGAATAATGCCAAAAGGGGGAAGAGATATTGTGCTTGACATATTCTGAATAAGTGATATTTATAACCTAATTAACCTGGTCATTGATGATAAGTGAATTTTATAAACCTTGTATTGATGGTTAAGCTGAGTTCTCACAAGATCCAAGTAAGTAAAAAGTACAGAGTTTGTCATCATCAAAAAGGGGGAATTTGTTGGCCCAAGAACTTGTGAAGTTTTGAAGATTGACAAAAGAACTCAGACATGGACCAGGTCTATCTTGTGAAGCATAGTCATGAAACATGTACATGTGAGATGCACGTGAAGGAGATAAATCTAACTGATCAAGAAGTAATATCTCCTGATCTGATCGAAAAGTTTGCATATTGGATAAGGAGAGAAAGACTCCTTACATGAAGAGAACACAGTTTAGGAAGAAGATAGTGTTAGAGTTTGAGATCATCTTGAACTCTTTTACGATAGAAGAGTAGCATTGAATCCCAGTTAATCTCTAATTACTAACCCATTAAATATCAGTGTTGTTTTCTTTTACAGGCAATACACATAAGCAGAAGTTAAACTTAAATTGAAAGAAAAAGAGCAAAGCGATTTTTCAAGCAATTTATGTGTGATTCGAGTGTGCAATCCTGAAGCTACTTGAACGAGATAGAAGAACTGGTTCCATGTGTCTATATTTTATTCTAGTTCAATTGTAGTAGGTGATTTTACTTTTTTCCTTTCAGCTTTTATAGAAGCAATTGTATTAGGTATCTAGAGTGTTCAAGTTAGAGTTAACTTGAAGTTGCCGCAAAGTTGAGGTTGTGTGCCACAACGGGATTAGAGTTAATCTTTAGATTTACAAAGAGTTTTGTAAATGATGTTTTGGCTCAGTGATTTTCGTGGAAGTTTAGGAAAATCCAATTGAGTAGTAGGTCATGGTTTTTTCACCTTTTGAGCCAGGTGTTTTCCACGTAAAAATCTCAGTGTTCTTTATTTTTTTATTTATTATTTTGCAAACAGTAGTAGTTGGAACACATAGAAGAACTAGGCCCTTCTATAATTCAGTTACGCGAAAATTGGGTGCCATACTAATCATCCCCCTCTTGTGTGGTATTGACATTTAAAACATCAGTGCCCATCTTCTAGTAGAATTTTATACATACAAAAGGGTGAGCTGATACCCTTAATGCCCATAATAGTCCAACCAATTTCAGTCTTGTACTCTTTCAACACATGTAAACGTTGTTCTACCTGCATATCTAGCAAACCAGTGAGATAATAATAGGTAAAGTTAAGTTAGGTCCCAAGAAAACATACCTGAGGTGAGATAGCAGCGGTTTCAGCTCCAATTGTGGTGTCGCTTCGATTGATGGCTTGGCTGGAAGGGTCTTTCTTTATTTCATGGGTAAAGGCTAGGATTCGAGCTCTCTCTTCCATTATCCTTACCCTTGAAGATCTAACACCCATTCCACTGAGTCCTCACCATTTACTTCTTTTAAGTTCATCAGGCAGGCTGTTAGAGGGTCTTTTACGTTAAGTGACTCATCATCTTCCTCCATGATCACATCCACTATGTCTAACAAAGAGCAATTTGTAAACTCACTGGGTTGCCGCATGGACTTTTGCACATTAAATATTATTTCTTTATTATTCAGCCTCATCTTCACCTCCCTTGTTTCACAATCAATTAGAGCTCTCCTATGGCCAAGAACAAACTTCCCAAAATTATGGGAATCTCTTCATCAACTTTGTAGTATAGAATGACAAAATTTGCTGGAAACACTGATTTTCTAACTTGCACAAGTACGTTGTCAAGTATACCTGATGGCCTTTTTATCGTTCGGTCAGCTAGTTGTAGTAACATGGATATGGGCCTTGCTCTTCCAATGTATAACCTTTTATAGATAGGCAAAGGCATCAGATTTATACTTGCTCCCAAATCACACAATGCCTTGGCAAATGCATAACTACCTATGGTGCATATAATTATGAAGCTTCTCTTCTCAGTTATAGGTCTTGAAACAGCAACACTACAGGTCTGTGTCAATGTGAGAGTTGTCAAGTCTTGGAAGTCAAACTTATGAGACATCAAGTCCTTCATTAGTTTTGCATAACCGGGCCTTTCCCTTAAAGCATCGATTAGAGAAATGTTTACCTGAATGTGCTTCAACATTTCCATGAATTTTTTTATTCTATTCATCCTTCTGATATTTGGCCAACCTCTGCCGGAAAGGTGCTGGAGGTCGTTTTTTGTGGCTTGATTTAGATCTTGCTTAGGCACTTTTTCTAATGCCTTCTCTTGCACTTTCTCAGTCTCCTCCGCAACCTCTTTTTCCTTGTTTATTTCCTCCTGGGTTGGCTGCACTCTTACTCTTGTCAGCTCAGTTGACTCATCTAGCTTAATTGGCACTGGCACAAGTGTTTCAGTTGACCGGCTCTCACGGACAATTTCTTACTCTAAATCAAGATCTCTACCATTTCTCAAGTTCACCGACATAAGCTGTTTCGGGCTTTGCTCTTTTGGATTGACATGTGTGTCTGCATGTAACATCCCTTGAGGACGATTGTTAAGGTCCATGGATAATTGCCCTAGTTGAATCTCAATGCCCTTGATAGATGAGTTGTGTAACACTACCTTTTCTTGTATTTGGTGGACCCTTTCTTCCATTTCCTCGTTGGCCCTAATGAGTTGTTGCAACATTTATTTAATTTCAAATAACCATCATCATGCCTCACTATCTGTTGTTGTTGATAAGTTAGCAGTTGATTTTGTTAGTTGTAACCTTGTTGCCTTTGGTAAGGTACTACTTGACCTTGTGGTCGCATAACTCCAGGATTGTTGGTGTTATTACACTGTTGTTGCGCTGGTCTATACTGCTGATTTTGCTACCCCCAATTTTGACCACCTTGTCTCTGACCTCCGTAGCAGCACACATAGTTCATGTTTCTGTGATAGTTCTTGTTGTCACTTTCACCACTCCACGAACACACATATGGTAGGTTAATGCATGGTGTACATAATCCCCTATTAGTCGTGTAAACTCTGTGTACATGCTTCTGGCCTGATTCATCAATCTTCTTGGTGATGGTACTCATTTTTGTCATCAGAGTGGCCATATTATCATCTATGAAATTGTTCGGGTCCAATGCCAGTAAGTGAACTATAGGGGTGATTGTGGAGTCTCTTGTCATCCATCCCCAGTTTTAAGCCATTTTATCTAGTAGGACCTTACACTCTCTAAATGACTTGCTTAAAAATGCTCCACTTGCGGAAGATCAACATTGGCCTTCAAGCTATCCGCCAATCCCAAGTAAAATTGTTGTCCCAATAGTTGATTTGGAGTGCTATGACGTGGACATTTAACTAGCATGCCTTTGAACCTCTCCCACATTTCTTATAATGTTTCAGTTGGTTTCTACCTGAAGCTCAATATCTCATCGACTTGCTTGGCAGTCTTATTGGGTAGGTAGAAATTATTCAAAAATTTCTTGACTAATTCCTCCTAAGTGGTGATGGAATTTATGGGGATGGAATTATGCCAAGATTAGGCTTCTCCCATCACTGAGAATGGAAACAACAACAATCTTATTGCTTCTGATGTCACATTCAATTTCCATTGCGTAACACAAATTGATAGAAATTATTTCAAATGCTATTGCAGATCTTCAATGTAAGACCCGGAGAACAGTCCCTTGTTCTATAGTAGATGTAGCATTTTGTTTGTGATTCGACCTGACTCCGCTTATATCTGAGGGACTGTAATCGCAGTTGCCAAATTTTTAGCAGTGGGTTATGCCCAGTTATACAAAGCTACTTCTGGCACAAGAGGTGCCACGTCCTGATTGTTTGGGTCATTCACATTGTTTCGATTGTTTCGATTATCCAAAGTGTCACCCATATCAAACTCACTTTGTTCTTTTGGGAGTTGTTGTTGTTTGTCCTACTTGTTTGCACGATTTAATACTTTGAAAGCTTTTTGAAGATCTAGCAATGCTTCAAACAATTCACTAGTTCTTAAGGAGTTTCTAGGCTTACACCTATAACACACAAGAATACAAACGTTAGACTTTTAACGTAATGAATAAAAGTGGAGAAAATTGACTAAACTAAGAATCCTAGCAATTCTTCTAGCTGTAATTAATAACACTGTTGCTTTCCTCAGAAATGACGCCAAAATATGATCACGCCCAACTATGACTCCTAAGAGGTCTAGTGGTCATTATAAATATAATTTGATTTATAAACCCGGAGTCAAATCTCACAGGGAAATAACATACTAATTACAACCACTAGTTTTTGCATGAATTTAAGTAACCAAACTTCGAAAATATTATATGGCGATTTAAGAGTTTACTAACTAAGATCAAAGTAGTTAAATGCAATAATTTACAACTTAACAAAGATAATGTTGAAGGCAAGATTTGGAAAAGTCTAAGGTTATGATTTTCCCTATTATCGGAATCTTCCCCGCTACACTTCCTACAAATTCTCCTAGATATTCTCCACCAATCATGAGTGGTTTGACTGTCGTAGCTCTCTCTCTCTCTCTCTCGAGCAACTACTTCAATTTACTAGACGTATTCTCTCGAACTATACTAGTTGGCATTAATTCACTATTCACTACATTCGCACCAAGGCTTCATTATCTCTAATCATGCCATTAAACCCTCCGTATTGATCTCTTAACTACATTAGGAGTGGTGTTGTTCATTAACTACCTAAATGTCTACTCTCTCTCGAGCAATATATACACTAAATAGGCACAGGTAATTGAGAGCTCTTCAATTAACAACAATGAAAATATAGTTGAACAAGTAGAGAAAAATCAAAGGCAAATCTATATTAAATGCAATAGATAATCATCCTCCAATAGGTTCTATCAAACCTTAGATAAGAGAGTTTAGCTACTCATAAATACAACAACAATCAACATAATGTTCAAAGACATAAACTAGAAAATAAAGAGATAAATTGAGAGAAAACTCTTTTTGATCCTTGCTTCCAAGTGCTCAACAACCTTTTTTCTTCTCCAAAATAGTGTCTAACCCTAGAATAACTCATTTGGGGAGTATTTTTATCTAAGGCCACAATCTCTCAGTCCAAAAATAGTGAGGAAATAAAAGTGTCTTGGATAAGCTTTGTCGGCACGAGGCATTGCCTATGGCACCATTGTTTCGGTACAAGGCACTATCTGGGGCGCCAATGACAGTGCCCTGGACAATGCCTTGCACTGTATGTGGCACCATTGTTTCGGTGCAAGGCATTGTCTGGGCCACTAATGACAGCGCCCTGGACAATGCCTTACACTATCTGCGGCATTATTGTTTCGGTGCAAGGCATTATCTTGGACGCCAATGATAGTCCCCTGGATAATGCCTTGCATTGTCTATGACATTGTTGTTTCATTGTCTTGCGCTTCTTCATTTATTGCTCAATTTTGTAGCTCTGAGGTACCATTCCGTGCATTTTTTCTCCAATCTCATATCTAAGCATTCCTACATGCGAAAGAAGCTCTATTAAGAGCAATTTGTCGCACAAATTAGCATCCAAACAACAAACAAGTAAGGTAAATAATGTCTAAATATATGAAATTATCTCACGAAATCATTCATATAAAATATATCACAAATATTATTCTTCAAAGTGCATAAATTTTACTTGTAACTATCATCTACGCATACTATCGAAATCAATTTGTACTACTCTTCTTTGAACAAAACGTAAAAAGGATTCTTCACAAAAGCTAGATGTTGTAGTGGTATTAGCTCTTTCTTAGTCTTGAAGCATTTCCCTTTAAAAGATCTGGTAACATTATCATAACTTGTATTGTGTAGCTATAGACTCATGGACGCCTTCTATTCAAGAAGGCTACCCAATTCTAGAAGGATGCCTGACAATAGTGCTTACCCCGCCGGGGGGCTCTTTCACGATGTCTGTATTTTTTGCACCATGCGAGTTTATTTCAGTGTCATCAAACAGATCCAACCCATGACTAAATTCACTAAATCCATCTTTTACGATGTTTCCATCATTTACCTATACAATTGGTGACTAAGGTAGTGATTGTGATGCAATTGCAACATTTGAAGCTTTCTAAGACATTTCAAAGGAAACTTCAGCCTCTTCTTCAACTACAAATATCTTTAAACAAGACCCCATACCATTGTTTGAAATATCACAAAGACAGATACGTAAATTATCGTCATTCTTTATGAACGAATTATGAAGTTTATCCTTCGGTGGTGCAGAACTAAGCATATAAGTAAAATTCACATGCCTCAGCGAACAACTTAATTGGCCACATTTCGTGGCTATATCGACAAAATCGTTATATGTAGCCTCTCTATACTGTCAGGTTAATATCCAAATTCTAAGTCTAATTATTTGTCCCCTTAACCTATTCACCAGAATAAAGATGGTATACGAGTATATAGTCTCTCGTCAGTCTATTAAAACCAATGGTATATTTAATAATGGTATATTATGAAGTAATGGATGAGTAAAGTTACAGTTGCAGAGGACTAAGGCTCAGATCTACAGAACGCAAAAATACAAATTGAAGACTGTTTGACCCAAAATTTATACCCGGGTTCAACTAATTAGATTTAAATAAAGCTGAGTCAACCTTAGCCAATATTAATATCCAAAAGATATGTTAACTGATTTTGTCTTAGATAGCATGTACGTTTGACCGAATGGCAATAAATATGGACCACACTGACAATATTCAATGACTCAAAAGGAAGAGGACAACAATAAATAACAATAAATAGTTATGAATGAAATTTAACTAAATAAGAACATATAAATCACCCTAGAATGGCTAAGATCTGCGGATATTCCTTCTAACAATGATGAATGTTTGATGAGTCTTCGAATATTCAAGTTGTTCTTGGATCAAATGGAAATTTATGCAAGAATCTTAGTAAAAAATATTTTTGTGTGCTTACAATAGAACCAAATTCTCTCTGTAAAGTCAATATGTTTTCTTACAAGTGAATATCTTATGTCCCTATCCTTCTCTCTCTTTCTATTTATAGGGAACATATACCCAAAAACCCTGATAGTACATATACCTCGATCTATGATGACTTCTCGACCTTGGTCTTTGCTAACTCATCGACCTCACCCTTTATATCTTAAGGGGACACTTTGACCTCGGGCATGCCACACGTTGAGGTCGTACTGTTAACACGTGGTAGACTAGGAAGGCTCTCTTAATGCTAGCGCGACTTACTTGTATCAAAGATAATATTTGGCTCATACAGTTAGTCCCTCAGCTTGTTGAGGTCATCCTCACAGGCGAGTTCGATGAGCGAATAATGTTATTCGTTGGCCTAGCTTATCAGGCAGACTATACGGGTCGCGGTCGTTGTGGCAAACAAGCAACGTGGCTTTATGTGGGCCGTATATTTCAAATTCCTTGAATTTCTCGGGTAATGTTTTGGAGCCATCTGGTCCAAGAGAAGGGGTGATGTCATGACGTCATGCATCATGATGATGTTGTTTCCTGATATATCGCATTGATTCTCATGTGACCCTTGATTAGTTCTTCCATTTTGATCTCTGTGCTAATCATCACCAGCCATTTCGATTCTAATGCCCTCAAACATTATAAATAAGAGGGGGGTTGTTAATTTTAAAGTTTTTCCACGCTTTTATTTCCTAAGGAGAAACCTTTCTTCTCCTTTGTAGAACTTTTTCTCTGTTATTTTCTCTACTTTTTTTTCTTTCTCTACAAAAATGCCGAACCTCTCATCCGATATCCATATGGAAGATCATTCTATCCCTTTAGATGCCAGTTTCCTTGATCAGGGAGAAGACGGTGCAGTTGTTGTTAAGGAGGAAACTCTCCCTAATGTAAAGGAGATTGTACCTCGGTTCTTAATGCCAAACCCGACTTCCACAAAGCGCAAAAGTGGTGACTAAGAGGTTCTGCTCTACAATAAAGGTTGATCTTTTAGCCAAATTCAAGGCTAGGCTCGGCCTTCCTGGTTATGTGGAGTTGGTCACCATGGGTGACGATGAAGTAGGAGTTCATCGTCTGGGATTCTGCGCCCTTTACGCATATCTATTCACTATTGGATCTTCATTCCTTTACCACCCTCGATAGAAGAAATGTGCCGCTACTATAATGAGTGCCCAGCGCAACTCACCCTTTACGTCTTCAAGGTGGTCAAAATGTTTGTGATGTTTGCCAAGTTGGCCGATGACGAGATTATAGTATGCTACCTGATTCACCTTTTCGCCTTTCCCCCTCCCAACTTCTTTCGAGGGATGTTGCTAAATCTTCTCTACCGTGGAGGGAAATGCTTGGTGGTGAGGATGGATGACAACAATAGTTGGCACTCCTGGCTTGATTATTTCTTTATCAGGTCCAAGGCTGTAATGCCTGTTGCCGCTGAATTCCCTAAGTTCTGGAACCCCACTCATAAGTGATCGTGCTGTTTGTGTGTTTTAAAATACATTTCTTTTTCAACATTTTCTTATTGTAGGTTGGTTAACTAACTCTTTTTTTCTGCAGGTACTATACGACCTCTCCAGCTAGTGACCCATATTGCCAATTGGGTCAGACAAATCCTTCATCATACAAAGGGGATATGTGATTGGTCGATTTTTCGTTAGAGATTCATACCGTCTCTTTCCTTGGCAGGTAATCTCTTCCCTATCATCGATATTGTTTCTCTTTCCATCTATGTTTGTCTTTTATGTTAGGCCCTTCTTTCTCAGCTTTTCTCTAGGTTAAGTTAGAGGTGATGTGAGGAGGTTGAGGGGCCCCGTACCTTCATTTTGGAAGAGGAGGGCCACTACGCCTTCACTCTCTGCCTATATTTTAGCCATTGCCACTCCAATCGTTGTCCCAATTCCAGTTGTCACGACTTCTGCTCTTTCTTATTTTCACTTGTTGATGAGGATGATGATCATTCACCCAACGATGAGGATCTTCAACCTTGAAAATAAAGGTCCGTAGATGTGGGAGGCGAAGTCCCTTTGGCCGTTAACATCACGGAAAGAGGTTTCACGTTACGTGAAACATCGATAATTTTTGTATATAATGATGTTGACCTGAGTCTTGAGGCCCTAAGGCTAGTAGAAGTTGATGCAGGCAAGCCTTTACATTCCAAGGGGAGAGAGACCTATGAGGTAGCTATTGGCAGCGACCATGCACTTTCGTGACAAGAAGAGGATTCAGCCTCTCGAACATCCATAGACACCTCTTCACATATTGATGAGAAGGGGAAGACTGTTGCTGAAGATGACAATGAGTTAGGATCTAATGTCAATTAGGATGACTTGAGAATGATCGACGAGAGGTTAACCCAGCTCCAGGTAAGTTTGGAAGAGGGTTCGAGGACCATCATGATCCCAATGGATCGTGATTTGTTGGTGAACACTGAGGAGGTATTCATTTCCCTCGGCCCTCTCTGTTCCGATGTCAAGGGTAAAACCCTCAAGGAGATAGATTATAATGCTCTATCGAAGAGTATTGCCGGCCTTGATTTTAGGGTAAGTACTGTTGTACGACCCTTCTCTAAAGTTTTAGGACATTCTAAGTTCTAACTTTTTTCCTTTGATTTACAGACGGTGATTTTGGAAATTGAGAGCGCCCAAAGGGAGAAAAGGCACAAATAGATCTTCGTGAATCTGAAAGAGAAGTATACTGAGTACCACAGTAAAATATAGTAATCTCTGAAATTGGTATCATAAGGGCGGCAATATACGGGCCCTGAGGCCAAAAAGAAGTGTAGCGTCCTTATAGGGACGTTGAGGAGAAAATAGGAGGAGCTTGTGGTTAGTAGGGGCATGGAGGCCTAATGTAGTGATCTTCAAGCTCAAGTGGTCCAACTACAATGACAACTTGAAGAGTGTCTATTGCAAGCAGAGGTCCTCAACGGCGAGATTGCTGAGAAACATGAGGAGCTTGAGAAGGCGGTGTCCTCCTGATTAGATGCTCGGAGAATGGTGGAAATCCTTCAAGTTGGCGAATATGAATCTTCGGGCTGAGTGGAAAACGACCAGTCAACAGTGAGATCTAAGGAGGACTGGCTCGAGGAGAGGATCGGGGAATTGAACAGGTAAAACCCCGACTTTCATGATCGAGTTACCACCATAGAGGCTGAGATGGCTTAAATACTTGCACGATTGTCTTCTTACAATGCTTCTGATTTACCATTGTCCCTTGGGAGATGTATGAAGAGTGGATCCACATCGAGGCTCGACTAGATGTGTTTCGGGACTTGCACGC